GGGGGGGGGGTCCATCATATGCGCCCGCTATCGTATATCAGGGGTTTCTCGAGGTTTACCCTGAGATGTGAAATAATGATAGCTTGAAATGGCGAAAAGACGGCTCAGGCCATGTACCCTTATCGATATTTTAGCGTGTTTCTCTACGCTTAAAAATTTGGAAAAAATTAGAGGTCCTAGTTCGAGCCTTTTATTAAGCGTTGGCGTTGTCCATTTTTTCTCAGGAAATTTGTTTAGCTAAAAAAAAAAGAAACGTAGAATGGATAGAAAAGCGGCGCCGCGCCGCCCGGTGAGAGTGAGTTCCTGTCAATCGCTCGAGCGACAGTGTTCCCGAGTGGAAATTGCTTCAGGCCCACCTGAAGCACTATCAGAACTTGATCAGATTTTTGTAAGGTTCGACTGATCCGGTGATTCCTGATGAGAACCTGACCAAGTTTTGATCCAGTAGATCGGATCCGAAAAACTGCAGGATGATTCAGATCAAGTTCTGATCAGGTAGACACGATCTCACCCTGAGCTCGGTTGCCTGACCGCAATTTGATCAAATTCGGACTTGATGTCTTTGATCGGCATTTGAACGGGGTCAATTGAAGAGAAAATGATCAGATTCAGATCCGGTCCACCATCAATTTTAATGTGTTTCGGATAATTTAATTAACTATTATTATACTATTCAAATTAAGTTTTATCAACCATTATCAATAATTATTTTCAATCTTTAAAAAAAATCATATTATAATTAAAATAAATTAAATGAATTTAATTAAATGAATTTAATTCAGTTAATCAATTTAATTAACAGCCAGTCCTTCTCAAATGTACAGAAGGGAGGGATGATGATGCCGTAAATACTTATTAGAGGAGTATCAAACTTACACGCAAATGATCTTGAGAAAAAAAATCACCCAACGTCTATTTATTTATTAGTGTTATTGTTATTATCATTATTATTCATTAATAAAATTAATAAAAATTCAATTGAGCATATTTTATCTCTGAGAATACACATGCACATCCGCGAGATCAGGAGTAATCGTAAATTCAACGAATGCCCCGATACAAATCATATAGGCAATGTATAGTTTACTCAATAGTAATAGCGCGATAGCGTAGTGGTTAGAGCATAGGATTAGCAATCATAGGGTCCCCGGTTCGATCCCCAGCATCCCTAAAAAAAATAATAAGCTTTTTCAGAGGTAATAACAGTAGAGATTCATTAAGAGAGGCGGCCTACGGTGAAAGAATTGAATTATCTTTTATTTTGGATTAATTATCATTGATAATTTTTATTGATACTGACAGGTCATCCGGTTTTTATACAGTTGACTTGATCAAGTTCGGATCCATTCGTCCTGATCAAATCCGGATTGGTCAGAGGCGTAACATGTCTGATCAAGACCGGATCCGTCAACTTGATCAATACCTGATCAGTGGTCAGGTCTAACCTGATCCAAACTTGATCAAGACCTGACCGGAATTGCCACTCGGGTTGCTACATTCACTGCCACACTTGAAATGCGCGCATAGCGGTGAGCGCCAAAACGGCATCAGCGCACTCGCTTTAACCCAGCGGCGCTAGGCAAACCGTGCGACGGATGAGGGCTGGCGACCGAGCGGGTGATCGAGGGATAATGAAAAAAATTGCGAAATTCGATTGATCCCTTATGAGAAAATTTCGATAAAAAACATGCAGAAAAAAGACTCGATACATACGCACACACACATACATACATACATATATACATATTTCATTACCCCAACACAAAAAATTGAAAACTTCAATTTGAGCAATTACAAAGCTTCTATTCCGAAGCAAAAATGGAAAAAACTATGCTTGCGGCCCACTAAGTACAGCAATTTATATAGCATTCCATATCTTATGATGTCACAGGATATTGTTGGATGGGCCACTTGAAGTATTTTGAATTTGCAGCATTTTTTCTCATATTTAATTCCTGTCACCTTTCTCATTACAACAGAAATTATTGACTAAGAATAAAAAGCATTGTTATATGTTACAGGAGGAAATAGACGATATCATCATCACCACTCCGCCATTGCCTTCTCAAAATGACCCCTCCACCCTTCAAAGGACTGTCAGGTCCGTCTATCATTCCGACGCACCAACGAGGCAAACTCCACCAAACTCAGCAACCAATCTTCTCCACCACCCTTCGAATTCCTCATCACCCCCTACCATAAAAGTTACCAACCGACCTAATTTCTCATCTTCAACAGCATTCCCCTCGATTAAAATTACCGCATTACTCCCTCCACCGAAGCAGTCACCTGCCACTGAGCCCCCAGTCATTCGATATGAAGATTTGCTCGATGAATTTGGCATATCTGATGAAAAAAAATCTTCACAAAACGATTTCTCCATCAATTCCTCAGGGAATTCCATCCCCACTATTGGAGAGTCAGCCGAAAACTTATTGAACAATGATTATGCAGAACCCCGAGATACTATTCCTATCGCTGGGCAATCTCGCCGGAGAAGTGGAAGTCTTCCGGTCAATCTGAATGAAACCACAAATAAACAATATGATGGAACAAGCTCTGATTACGATGAGCCATTCTACAATGATTCACCAACAGAATTAAAAATCCTGGAGAATCGAAATAGTTCTAGTCTACCAAATGATCTCGAGTGCTCATCACAAAGACAAGATAATAACTGTAATTATTACACGGTGATTAAAAACCAAGCAGAACCAAAGAAACCAGTAGACTTAAGTTTGAAATTTAACTGCGATGAACTGAGTCAATCAAACGCTAGATTACCACCAAGACAATCATCTGATAATCGAGAGAGAAGAAAGAACATTTTTCTGAGTCCAATGAGCTTTAGAAAAAAGAATGCAAAGCTGCACAGGATTGGGATTACTCCTGGAGCAGTTCAATCAACAAATGGGAATTCAAACAATTCAATGAACAACGAGAACAATTTAATTATTTCCACCAACGCTACTAGATCTGCTCCTGTCACTCCCACTGAGGATAAGCGATTGTTCTCGAAGTCTTTGTCGAAAAATCATAGTCCTCTCTATGATGATGCTCAACAAAAGGTGGCGCTCATTAGAGTTTCATCTCTGCCAGAGCAAACCTTTGACACATCCAGAGAACAATTGAAGAGTGAACGGAAGCATTCTTTCCCAGCCGTGTCCTTGGGGCAGAAGAGGTCGGTTTCACCTGTTACCTTGAGATGTGATATCATCGCCAACCGACTATCTGAGTCAGATAAAATTATTGGAAGTGTGCATTGGAATAAAGAGAGAATGAATCCGTCTGGAGTTGGAGAAACAGGGAGGATTAATGATGGTGGATGCTGGAATGGACAATTCAATGCTGATAAGAAAGAAATTGACGATAAGGATGGTGATGGTGGCGAGAGTAGGGGGAATGGACGCTCTGCATCGGTGAGCAGATTTCTATTACTTACAATAAAATTAAATAACCTCAGGGGGCTATACCCTGGGGTGGTTCAGACTGTATAGGCAAAACAGAGTCTACTAAGTAATAATAGCGTAATATTCTAGTGGTTACACGTATGGAAAAATCCTATAGGATTTCCTATAGGATTTTTCTGGTGGGATTTCCTATCGGATTTTCTATAGGATTTTCTATAGAATTCACTATAGCGGTTTCTATAGAAAGTAACATATAAAATGGAGACTCGAAACCAATCGGTCACAAGGGTCAGGATGAGGGTCATAAATCTGATAGGAAATTCTATAGAGAATCCTATAGGAAATCCTACAGGAAATCCTGTGGGAAATCCTATCAGAAAAATCCTATAGGAAATGTTCGAGTCTTCCACAGGATTTCCTATAGGAAATCCTATAGCATTTTTTCGTACGTGTTACGGCATAGGATTAGTAATCGTTGGGACCCCGGTTCGATCCAACGCATCGGTTAAAATCACAATTTTTTTTCAGGGGTAATTACGGTAAGGATTCATTAACAGAGACGATCTACAGTAAAAACAAGCAGGGTTGTAAGCCTTTTTGGCAGAAGCCATGTGACATTTACCTTTTTTTTTCTACCAATTCCATTGGTAATAAGCTCCGAATGGATCCGTTCAATTTCGCAGATGATAACTACTCAAAAAGATATTCATATTGGTAAGGGGAATAAACCACACCGACTTCTGATTTTGTCAGAGCTATACAATTTCATCCTATAATGTCATAAGATCTACAATTTTACCAAATTTTAACTTCTACCTCCGTCATAGCTATGACATTTCATTAAATACAAAATACTATAAATTGTTGTTATGCCTTTTTAAGTCATATAGAGACGTGATGATAAATATTGATAAAATAACGATGTGTGATTTTTTAGAAAAAAAGATTTTTGGATAAATTGCTCTATGCCCGGATGTACTGAATCGATTGACACAAAATTTTATACATAACTGTGAGCTCATAATACAAATTAGTACACGAAATCTCAGATGTCTAGTCCAAGTTTTACGCGTATTATGGACACCACATTAACTTTAAAATGAAAAAATTAGAAAATCGCTGATATCTCGAAAACTTTGTATGGGAGGGTATGCATATTTTGATTGATCTTGATAGAAGATACCATGACAAATATTTTGAAAAAAAAAGTGAATCGGCCCAGTAGTTCAGGAGATATTAAGCATAATAGTTTTTTTTACAAAAAGGTAAATATCTTCGAAACTACTCATTCGATTCAACTCGTGAATAATACACTTCTGTAGTATCATACGATCTACAATCATAGTAAATTTCAACTTCCTATCTTCAATTTTCAAGGACTTATCGTGTCCACAACATTTTTTCAAGAAAAATAAAAAATGTCCATTATTATTAAACTGACCCTAGTTACGTAACAATATTATGATTTGTTTCGATATATATTATCGTACGGAATACTTTCCCGCCAAAAACTTCAATTCGGTCGCGTAGTTTTTGAGATATTGAAGAAAATAGATTTTTGAGAAATTGCTATATCTCGGAAACTACTAGGCCGATTGAGCTGAACTTGCGCCCACAAACGCTCCAAAGTAATACCAATTACTCGACAAAATTTCAGATTTTTAGCTCAAACTTTAGTCCTTTTTGCTTCCGAATGGAAGCATTGTAATCACTTTTTTTTCGATTCTCCAATTTTGCATGAATATGACTCAGGGTGGTCTGAAACGCCGACATTTGATATTTTTAGCCGATGTCCGTATGTATGTGTGTGCGTGTGTATGTATGTGTGTGTGTTCGTCCAGAAACATGTTAATAACTCCAAGACTATTCCCGCGAAAGGGCTGAAATTCTGGCTCATGATAGGTTTTGATGACATACAAATTTGTGCAAAATTTCAGCTTGATCGGTTGGATGGTTCCTGAGATATGGCGTTTTCTCAAAAATCGTTTTTTGTGAATATCTGCTAAACGACTCGATCGATTTCAATAATTTTTTCCCAGAATATGTATAACCATGATATCTATCTGATTACATCAAAACTTGATCGACCCAACACCGGAAACAGAGTTTTTTTTCATTTTTTCATTTTTTTCATGAAATCGCTCGTTACCACGATAACTCAAAAAATAATTGCGATAGAAACTTGAAATTTTGTACGATTATATGGCTAATGGTAACAATGATTGGTATTGTTGATGGGCGAAATCGGACCAGTAGTTCCTGAGATATTCCACTTTATAGTTAAAGCTCTACCCTCTAATATCTCAAAAACTACTGGACCAAATGCATTCTGCTTGCTCTCAAAATTTTCGTCTGAGTGGTGGCTATCGATGCAAATCAAAATATAGGTACCATTCAATTGAAAGTTTTCGAGATATTTCAATTTTTCTCTTTTTTTGAGATCAGATTCCTATTTTCGACTCTGAAGTGGTTTAGACTTCTATTAACGCTGTCAAATTCATCATTCATATCAGGTTGGTGTCTGGTTATTGAATTATATGATCCTGATCATGAATGTAACGCGTGGTCAAGACAGGCCCTGAACCGGGCACCCGGTTATTCATTCATATGATCAACATCAACTCACTGTTTTGGAACTCCTTCTTGGATATTTTTAATTAAATTTGGATATTGAAGATAAATATGCATGTCGAGGTTATCCATTTTGTCATAGGGTCGGTTTATCAGTTGTTTTATGTTTTGGTGAACTTCAATCCAATGACAATATCATGTTCTTTTTACAGTGTTAAGAAAGAAAGAGAGCAGTGCAATTAGCAGCCTCGTGTTATGCAAATAACTGCATCCCCCTCCAACCGCCGATACTTGATAATTAATTTTTACGTAAAAAATTTGAAGGAATGCGAAAATTAATCCAGGAAGGGAGAAACGAGCGGTGCAATGAGAGGAAAATAAAATTTAGCCAAGTATAAAATTAGAGTAAAAGATAAGGCTTCAACTATTCCACGTGAAGTACGGTAACTGTGGTGCTAAATATTTGTACTGGTAGTAGAATATGATAGCTGATACTACTAAACACAACAGGCACGTTAGTTGAATCATATCTTGTTTCTGTTTTTTAGAGATCAGATTTCTATTTTCGACTGTGAAATGGTTTAGACTTCTATTAACGTTGTCAAATTCATCATTCTATCAGGTGGTGTCTGGTTATTGAATTATATGATCCTGATCATGAATGTAACGCGTGGTCGAAGACAGGCCCTGAACCGGGCACCCGTGTCCGGATCTTATACGGAGATCCTAGCCCCGACCTGATCTGGGGAACTACATCAGGTCCATGCCGAGTTAACTTATACGGTCCTAATTGAGTCATTCCAAATTGTGGCATTCCAAATTTCCAAATTTGAGTCAACTCTGGGTTCGATCCATCACAGAAGTGGAATTGGATTTTGGAATGGAATAACTACGGATCCATTCGGAAGCATACTACCAATGGAATTGGTAGAAATTAAAAACGAGAGAAAGTAGTATCACAAAAAGCGACAGTAAAAAAGCTTCGGTAGAATAGGCTTCTACCTCTGCTTATTTTTTTTGGGGGGATTTATAAAAAATTTCCGAAAAATCGGTATACACTTTCGGACATACATACACACATTTTCTAAAAACATCATATTTTCACGTTTCATGACATTCTACATCATTTCCAAGCAAAATTACGAGATCGTAAAAATGACGGGTCACAAGGCTTCCATTCGGAAGCAAAAATGATGAAATTTCAGATTTCACTGAAAATTCAATGTAATTTGGCAGTGAATATTCTAATGAGATTGGAAATTCAAATAAATTAGTAAATTTTCGTTTTTATGTTGTATAAAATTCTGAGGATTTACTGAATTTTCAGTAAAACCTGAAATTTCGTATTTTTCCCCCCTAAATCACATTCAGTGTCACTGTCCTGAAAATGAGTAGTCATCTGTCCATGAAATTTCATTTTTTTTTCGTACAGTGACACGTTCTTGAGGTAATCTACAAATTACAATTTGTTTGTTTAACGTTCGAGTGGTCGCACCTCTCCACCAAACGTACCTGGTCGCGTGATGAGCGCTGCGCCGTTCCGTGTATTTTACCATTTTGAGAAAAAAAAAGTTCAAAACAAGTGGGAAATCGCCGATGTATAGCATATAGTATAGCTTTTTTTGCTAATAAATTAGCAATATGCTTCCGAATGGTCATGTTGCATTTTTTTTTCTTCCGTATATGATTTATATTTTACTTTATTTCATTAAATTGAATAAGTTTCTTTTCAATCAATTGTGTCAAATTTTCTCTTTAGTTGAATTTTATAATTATTATTATTCTTATTAGTATTTTCTCTTATAAAACTTTTAATTTTTTTTTTTTCATTATTCTTTCATCATTGTTCCTTTGTAACATACATTTTATAAGCTACATTTCATGTAGCTTTCAAAATTACTGACGACAATGATTCCGAAGAAGATGAGAATGGAATATTAATACTAGCAACGTCATTATTTAAAGTCTACACCTGTTCTCTTTTGTAATTTCTGTCTGGGTTTTCTGGAGAGGACATGGGTTATGGGCCCCAGATAACTAAAATATCAGTTTTTTTTTAAATGATATTTTCGTTGCTCATAACAGGTTTGCATGAATTCTTAAAATTATTAAATAAATAGATTAACCTTACATCAATTTGAACATTTTTCTTTCATTCAAATAATCAATGAAAGTGTATTTTCCACAATCATGGAAAGCCAACAAACTTTCGAATACCATAAGCGATTCCTGAAATTCTTGTATTAATCAAATGAAAGAATGACACTATTTATATCATAACAAAATTTCAACAGAATATCATTGAAAAAAATGTATTTATTTATAATTGATTGAGTTTGAAACATCACATTTGAGGAAACCATGAAAAAGCTAATTTCCGGGGAAACTGATGAAAAATTTGTAATTTCTGTGAATTATCATAAAAAAATTAAATCAACGGAGGCAGTTATCGTTACCATCGTTCAACTTCCACTTAAGGATGTTCGACACCCTTTTAGCCAAAATTGACGTTGTTTTCATTTTTCTGAAAAATTATCGATGGGAGTGACGTGAAAAAATATAACGATTTTGTGGTTTGTCATTCTTTAATGGCTCACGAAGTTGCGTAGTGGTGCGATAATTTTCATGCGTTTTTTCTACAGTTTTGTGATTCTTTTTAAAAGTTTAGAGAAAACGCAGGAAAATGTTGGCACCACCTTAAAATTTCGTCAGTCATTAAATAATGACAAAACGCAAAAACGTTATATTTTTTCACGTCAATTCCATCATAAGTTTGCCAGAAAAATTAAAAAAACGTGAATTTTGGCAGAAAGGGTGTAGAACATCCTTAAGGGCGTTAATGCAAACATTTCAAGCCCTGATACAATTCATTCGAAGCCAGGAGTCCAAAAATATCTGCGGAATTCTTATTTTCAAAAAAAAAAAAAATTTTGCAAATTTGCTATCGTCTTCATCTTCGAACTCAGTCGAAAAGGCATCACAACAAATTGTTTAAGCCGTTATTTAATGAATTTGAAACATTTTTTTTAGTTATCGTAAAAAAAAACGATTTTTGAAAAAATTCAAAAATTTTAAAAATGCGTTAATGAATTTGATTTCAATTAATGGCAGTAGATAGGGCTCAGTAAGACCTACATTTGAGAAAAAAAGATTGAATTCCATTGTTGAACTGGCAAATAATTGAAGAAAAAGTTTGTTACATACGTACATACATACGTACACACGTACGAACGCGGTCTAAAAATTGCATTTTCGGACTTTTTGGATCATAATTGATATAACACAAAAAATCGAAAACTTAAGTTGGTCGATTACAATGTTTCCATTCGGAAGCAAAAATGATGTGTTTATGATTAAACGAGTAACTTTGAACTTCCAACTAAGAACTAATACCAGTATAAAACGAGAAAAGTGAAAACATTATTCAAAAATTGATTTACATTCGGTGTGAAAATTTGACATTTAGAGTTTAAACGCAGAGATTTGAACGAGTCGAATTTTAAAGGAATTTCAATTTTTGATCGGTGCAAAGATGCACAGAACAAAAATTGTTTAAATGTTTGACATGGTGGAAAGTAGGAATTCCAATTTTTTTAGATTTTTTCTCAACAATGTTTCAACGTAAAAAATAAAAAACGAGACAGAACGGCGCTCGTGCCATGACGCGACCGATCAAGGGTTAAGAGTTTTTTGTTATTGATTTGTTGATAAAATTCTTCCTGTTTTTTTGCAGCTCACTGTGTCATTGACAACTTTACTGTCAAGGCTTCGAACTGGCACAGGGTCCTGGTGCCCGGCTAGTCCACCAGCTGAGTCGTTCATTTGCTCTGATATGGCGACTCAGACGTCGCCTCCAATCTCACGGAGTTCGAGTTTTACGTGGGTTAGCGATTGTGAGTCTCCCCGAGGTATGTTTTCAGTCATTATTTTTCCAATACTTCAAATTGCGGGAATGATTATCGAGAAAATCAGGAAAAAATATGAGGCGAAAGATAAATATTCCCTTTTAAGGCTAATTATCTATTACACTCCATTCTAGCTCTCGGAAATTAAGGAAATTAAGTCACGAAGGGGATCCGAGACCGTTTAACTCCATTTTTTCGTAATATTGTTAGTATTGTTAATATTGTTTTTGATGTCATCGAATTAACAACTTTTATAATTTGGCATTGTGAGCCTTCATTTTGTCATCTGACATTTTTAGAGCTATAATTTGAGAATTTACAACCCGATACACATAAACAATAATTTTTTGAGTGATCATGAGAAAAATGAATTCCGAAAAATATGAAAATCTTGAAAACTAAACCAGCGATTAAATTTCAATCGGCAGCAAACGATTGCGCTCATTGAACTCTACACTGAGAAAAAAAAACATTATTTTTGCCAAATATTTATTTACTGGAGAAAAGCATTCATTTTTTCAAAATAGTATTTCTCCAATCGAGGCATTCCCAGAGGAGTCTGATTAGGTTTCAATTATGACAATCATATTGGTTTAGAGGATGACTATGTTGCGCATGACCTTGGACGAACTCGTCCAATGATTATTCATTTTTCCTAAATTTCTCATTTACTTGAGGGAAAAATTTCGATTAATTTTTTAATGTTGATAATTATTGCGGGAATTCACTCAAGGTCATAACTAACATGATCATCTTCTAGAGCAATATAATTGTCATAATTGAAACCTAATGAGGATTGCCTGGACATAACTCGACTGGAGAAATTTGGCTTTGAAAAAGTAAATACTTCTCTGAAATGAATGGTTATTTTTGCAAAAATATTTTTTTTTCTCAATAGAGAAAGCATCAAATTTGACCAATTCGTCGTCGACAAAAATGCAAAGTTGATACGCTAATCTTGTTTCTGTATGTACTCCGAGGTCCAGTAAATTTTATTATTGGCATTTAGGTTTTGATGGTGCTGAATCCGAATTCGAAGTGGGTTTGTGTAATTCATTTGTTTAAATTATGATATCGTGGAAACAGTTGCAAATAGATAAAAAGTTTCCAACAAAAAATGTTTGATATGCAAAAATATTCATTCTTTCATATCAAAAGCTTTTGCGGAAGATGTCGTCGCGTTCTGATGCGTTTAACGGTAAACTCGGCGAATATAGTGAAAAATGGTTCGAATAAATGCGGCTGTGTGGCGCACTTGGTAGCAATATGCACGGAGAAAAATTTTCAAGAAAAGCTGAGAAAAGTTCGTAGCAAAAATTACCGAACCACTCTGGGATCACGGGACATTTCGCAGGGTTAGGTGATAAGTGACAGTAGTTCAACAAAAAGGGGCGCTGTGAGTGCGTCAAAAATTACTGAACCATGTTCTTCGATTTTTCACGGTGATGGACAGCACTAATTGTTACGAAACTATTATAAACATCGTTTCTTCCACGCAATTGATACTAGTCAATGATTATTAAAAAATCCGCCTCCAATCTGTACAAATTATTATTTTTTTTGTAAATTTTCTCTTTATTCATTGTTTTTTTGGTTCAATAATTAATCGGGGAGGGAGAGGGACGGCATAAAGCTTCTCAAATTTCAAGTACCCCAAATTTTTTCATCATACATTACTATTATACCTTTTTTTATTATACCCAACTATTATACATTCATTACAAAATTATACATAGCAATCTAAGAAATTTTTTCTTTCATCGATTATAATTAGTTTCACTTCAAACTCCGCATCATTTACACCAAATTATTGAGCGGAAAAGTCACAGAATTATGCATCAATAGCATCAGTAGCCCGTAAAAACTAAGTAAAGCTATTTGTTTTTGAGAAAACTTAAAGGAGAACGATTATACCCACTTCTTGATGATGAATTTACCGACATCAGGAACATCCACGATGTGACTGATGATACTTCCGTGAAGCTGTGAACACCTCAGCACTTTCCACATACATTCAGAACTTATAATCTCGTAGTGTTGGGTTTTCTCATCAAGAAATACATCAACTAATAACTTAATAACTAACACTAATCTCTCCTCATCATTCAAGATTATGTGTATAACTTCGTATAAACAGGGTCGATTTTCGCCAGGGATCATAATGATATTTCCCATCTCAATGTGACTACCTTCGAAAATGAATTTCTTAATCGTGGAAACTGTCGAATTAGAACCTCCGAAACTATCAATCAAATGATTCCAAACATTGTTGATGCCAGCCAGTTCTGACAAGGGAGAGCATTTGACAGATTTTTCGTTGTACTGAACATTCTGAGAGAGCATGTTACTCAAGAAAACATGATTTAATTTCAATTGGTGCTTTAGAGCTATTGTTTTCGAAACGTTAACCCGACTAACTGCTGCTCGTGATGTAATTTTCCCCTCCCGGTGCTTGGCTTCGAATCTAAATGTTGATAATTTTGATAGTGGACCACAAGTGAGTAAAACTCTAAAATAGTGAATCAAAAAATGGTGCTTCGGCTTCAAGCTACCAGGAAAAAGTCGATTCAGCTCCCTCAAATACTCAGCAATGACAATACGAACGACCTGATGGAAATCCGGATGGAACCTTTGACTCATCATTATTTCAATGATCTCTTTCATTCCCAGGAATAAATCTCAAACTTCATCATCTAATGGAACTAAATCACCTATTATCAATGATAAACAACGCACGAGAGTCAACATCTCCGACATCATAATCATCGAATGATATGAAAACGGGAATAAAAATTTTGTCTCCATCGTTCCTACTCAGATGTTTCCACAGTTCTCCCTGCACAAAATTGTACAGAACAGAAGAATTATTTTGAGCAGATCGAAGATAATCTAGGGTTTCATCGAGCATGCCAGGAATTTGAAAGAAGAATTTTAACACGTGTCGAATGGAAATAAACTGAGCCGTAACAGTGATGATTCTTGGAAGTTTAATCCCTCTCCTACGTCTATAAATCTTTTTTCTACCCACTTTAAATGAAATCGGCTCGATTAATGTTCTTCTCTCTCGAAATGTTCTGAAACACTTGAATTCAATGTTCACTTTGTTGAATGCTTCAGTTTGATGACTATGAAAGGTCTCTATATTTTTTAATACTTTATCTTTCACGTCACTATCATGCACGGATTTCGAGACGGTCATTTTAATATTAGATAAGATCCCATCCATGAAGTTTTCAGCCAAATTTATAATTTCAGAAGTTCTTTTTCGAGGAATATCAACATGTTTATGCAACTCTGCTGCCAGCAGAGTAGCATTATCGATTGCTTCGTTTTGTGTGCATTGTGGCTCTTCTCCACTCGCATCACCGTCTGATAAATCATCCCCCTTGGGTTCTATTGCAATGGAAGTTGGAGTGGTTTCCGTGACATCCATTGACTCCGCCTCGTCAAAATAATTATCGTTTTCATAAAAATTTTCGTCATTGGATGTACCGGGCACTGGGAAAGTATGACTCGGTGAATCTTCCAGTATCTTCCTCCTTTTGGCACTATTAAAATTATCGTGTTTTGATCGTACATGTTGATCGATGTTTTCTGAGCGATTCGAAGGATTTGAAGGCTCTTGAACAAGACTCTCCACCACAAACAATTGATAACTCACTGGGATGGGCATATTGCATATGGTTGACATACTTAAGACGATCATCAAAGGTACCCTGACAACATGTACACTTAAACATTGTAATCTATTATGATTATTCCTACAAAGAGGAAAAAGAATCACTCAGAATCGGAATTTTATATTTAAATATTTGAAAATATGCAAGTAATTCTTCAACAAATGACTGAATTCAAGGTATAATGAAGATTGAAGAATGAGAAATCTAAAAATAAAATTTTAAAAGCAGGAAATTGTAAATATAAAAAACATCGACTTAAGACGCGACGAACTTCGAGAACCAATCATCGGATTTTTCTAATAAATAATTGGAATGTGAATTTTCAACATACTGTGACGAGCTAATCCTCAGTGAAACTTGCGATTAAATTATATATGGAAATTATTTTCAGAGTATTAAAAATGTGATTCTTTTTTTTCTTCGATCTCCAAGCTTTCAATTCATAATTTGTATTTTTCACTTCTTTAATCGTCGCAATGAGTACCCAAATTCAATGAATTATTGTTTTTCTGACTTCAATCTTCTTCTTGTGGAAGAAGAGGATTACAATTTGGCAAGAGTTCTATCTGAATTTTGACCGACTGATTGAGCCTATCCTTTGGGCGAGTGATGTCGTAGAAGGCACGTTGGATGAACAGCCAACACTGTATGGCTCGATACAGGAAAGTGCATTGAAGTGAAAAAGTACTCTTGAAGCACAGGTCGATGGCAGAAACCACAGAATCTACCTTGCACATCGTTGGCAATCCAGTCTCCTCGTTTGGGGAATCGTTCATACATACGTATATCTTATCCAGATTTACCAAGTCCCCAACCAAAACCGGTACAGGTGGAAGGCTTGAAGCCCCTGCCTGTAATCTTGCTCTCAATCGAGCTAATGCTGGGGCAATCGCATCTTCTGCCTGTACATGTATAAAAAAAGCCTCCTGTCTCTCCTGTGCTGACAATTTCCTTTCATTCAATTTCCTCTTGGGTACTGGAGGGGCGATCAAGTAAGGTAACAAGTACGCAATAACAGCGTCTTCATTATGCTTGAGCATTCCACCAATACCTTGAAGATATCCTTTATCACCTGTGGGTATTGGTTTGCAAAGTTGCAGAGATCGAAGTAAGATCAATGTGGCATTATCACAATTTCTGATGAAGTCGCCGTGCTCGGGGAATAAAACTTTGAAGCCCCGGCGAAGTAGCTCAGGTCCAAGATCTGTGAGTAAACATGGTAGGGATGTGAAGTACTGCTCAGTTGTGATATCAGGATGTACCAACATTTCCTGCCTTGCAGGGAAGGAGATCTGCCATTTGTCGAAAACGTCATTTCGTGGATTGATTTTTTCACTCAGCCAAGTGACATTTTCTCTGGATTTATTTGTGAATGAAAAAAATGTGAAGATTCAAATAACTCCCTACTATGGCTGAAAAGATTTATAGAATTACGTCATGATCAATCATGTTTACCTGGGATTTCCTCTAGCTCCTCAAGTAACAAATTTTCTGGTGCAGCTGCTAGTAGAATCCCCTGCTTCCTGAATTTTTTGGTGAGACACTCGTAGTGACGAACTAACGTTCTAGATGCACTGAATTTCTCCTTTTCAATGTAACGAAACGGGGTGTAATACGTCAAAGCGTTCTCATTGTCGAACAATTGGGCTATTTGACGAAACAAGTATACGAACTGAGCTCGAGGGATTTTAAATACTTTCAATCTCCTACAGCCATCAACCCTTTGGGCTCTGTTCAATGGCTTTTCCCCTTCGTTACCGATGACTACTTGCGTCAGGGAACTCCTCACAATCTTCACCAATCGTCCATTTTCCTTGACCGTTTTTATTGCTTCCCCTTGTGTGGATCCATCAATGAGACGAAAAATTGGCTGTGGCAGAAACAACAATTGCAAAAGTCATTTCCACAAAACGTCTCATCGGTAAAACTTCTAGGTGACTCAACACTTACATTGTTGACGACTGCAGGTCTGGTGAAATAGTCTGGTTCAGCCTAAAAAAGTTGATTAATTAACATTCCATGATGTGATAATTTTTTCCAACGAATCGAAGAACGACGAATCAAAAGCATTGAAATAATTATTTGCATTGGATGAAAGATGAATAAGCGTGGTTAACATGAGAAAATGCGTTTGTTATTCACACTGGGTTGCACCCAAAAAATAAATAAAGAATTCTGCAACCTGGTGACGTGTTATTAGAATAAATTTCGAATGATATTATGGAAATTGTTTCTGTCTCCTCATTATCCACATATTTTTTACAGTCTTACCATGTTGGAGTGAACTGAAAAAAAACAACCAAAAAATGGAAAAATGAGTATCACAAAAAAAAAGTTAAAAAACCATAGAACAAAGGAAGAGTTACAATGGAAAATTGCTTCTGTAGTGAAACAATTGATTTTGTAATGTATCAATTGACAAGGAACAAGAAAATGGTTGTTAATCGCAAGCAGCAAGTTTATCGTGCAAAAACATAACCTATTTGTAATTGATTCGAAATACTGACGCTTCGACAATAGGCATAAATCTCTCTCTCGTTCTGACTGAACGTCAATAATTTATACGCATGAGGATAATTGATATTGAGTCAATATACTTACGATTCTGAGGAAATCCACGATTTTCACTCTTCACAACTTGCGAGCGTGCTTTCGCCTGTGGAGAAACGCGTCCATTTTGTGTGGCAATCACGACGATTCATTTTTCACTTAACAGAGGGCTACATTGTGTGTTACCTTGCTTGTGAGAATTTGCTGGGAGGTTCGGCAAAATTTGACGTGAGAACAACAGTTTATGCTATGTAAATAGGAAAAACTCAAGTACTTCCTTTTTTTGGCCGATTTACTTATAAAAAATTGATCTACCCAAAAAAATTACTGGACTGTTCAGTGATATTTCAATAAAGTCCCCCAAAAATTGCCTAGGATGAACAATAATTTTTAATTGACTTTTGTTATTTTTACGTCCACCTATTCAAATATTCCATGTTTCATGCGGCAGTTCGGTGCTTTCTACCGTGAAACTTTTTTCCGTGTGAGATTCACAACGTTAAGCTCCCAGGTTCGAACCCCGGCCGGGCCAAAATTCCACACCAATTTTTCATCACAAATTTCCACATAATATTCATCTGAAAATTTAACACAATTTTCAAATTGAATATTTCACAGATTTTCCAGGTGAAAAAACCCACTCCAACGAAAAACCGGTGAAATTTGAAATTTTTTGGTTCGAATAAAAAATATTCACCATTTAATTTTACGTATAATTATTTTTCTAATATTTTTCTGTACACCTAGCAGTTAAAGAAATATTAGTAGTTTTATGCTACATCGTCATGCAAATTATTAACATCGTTTTTGGTTATTATATTCTCGCGAGTAAACAGTTAGAAATATCGAAAAACTTTTCGTATCAAAGTTATTCCTGCGTTAAAAACACATAGATTTGGTAGCTTGTCTTTTTTCCCTATCTCTTTTTGAGTTTTTGTTTTTTGATTTTTTCTTTTCACACAAAAACTTCGTGAATGAAAAATCCATAAAAATTTGTATTCCCACTTTCAAATATATGGAATACATCAACATCTTTTTTTCAGTCCAGACTTACACCAGTGAATTATTAAAATGTTCGGAAAACTGGACTCGCTGAAAATCCCTGTGTTTAACCTCTAAATTTCCTAATTTTGCACTTTTTCAAATTGAGTTCTTGGATTATCGGACAATTATTTCGCTTCCATACCCCCATTTCCTATTCATTGAAAGTTGAAAATTACCTGTGAACGTGGAATAATTTTTTTTTGTTCAACTTTTTGCTTCTCGAAATCGTAAAATACACAAGGCGGGAATTCCCTTACCGTGCAATTAACTACGTTCGGTGGAGAGCTGCGACCACTTTAGGATTAAATGGGAGCACGAGCAGTTCACGCGCTTACCGCCGACGCCTCTCGCAGGGGCTAACGTAACGGCCGCAGCCCTCAGACTCTGCATTTATCATAGTTAGAGAAAAAAGCTATAAAACAAAAAATGTGTATTTTTACTGAGTATTACCTGTAATAGTCGTCAGTTAAATAATAATGAATTATAAGTGAAGAGAAACCCGATCAGAAAAATTTCGATTCACTCATAAATCTTTAAAATTTTACATATTTTATATAAAATTATATATATTTTTTCCTATATATTTATATTTATTTCATATATATTTTTGTCGAATGATGTAGCAGAGTGTTGGCATCTTCCCGGATAGAAATCACGCCGCTCGAGCTCGGCTCGGAACCCGTATCCCAGCTAGAAATACGGCACTCCGCCCCAGCTTGGGATAAACTCCACGCGCGTCACATGTACCCGAGGTTGAGCCGCGTCACGCGCTTACAGCCCAGCGTTAGACTATTACGCGAAACGCTTCGCCGGGCTTTAGTTGAATGGCTACTGCTCAACCTCAGGTTCATCTCGAATTACTCAATCCCAGTATACTTAACCTCAATAATGATTTGACAGGTCCGATGGCATCGTGATTTGAGCGAAAAAACAATCGAATAAATGTGAAGATGGCATGCTTTTTCAGATGAACAATCACAAGCTCATCAGAAATAACGTGATATTAACTAATCGAATGGGATTAATCTGAAAATACAAGGTAGAACAATTCACTGAAACGTAGTCAAAACTTTCTTTTTTCTCGCGAATACAACAAACAAAATCAAGAAAAATAATCACTTGAAAAACGTTAACGAACCTTTATTATTAATTATCAACGCTACAGGAGAGGATATTCTTCATTTTTCGATAGGCCTACGAGTTCTAAGAATATTCTACGATTTATTAGGGAAATGTTGAATACAGGTATGCCAAAATAACACGCATGAAAAAATTCAACAGAAAAACCTAGCGCTTTCTATTAAATTTCTATTGGAATTCTATGAGAATTCTCTGGAAGTTCTATTAGAATTCTATTCGTTTCTTGCGCCGATTCTATAGGAGATTATGCAACTTCATAGAGTCTTTTTGTTAAGGTAAAATTTGGTGCAAGAAAGTAAATAGGTTTTTATATTCCTATAGATTTTCTTAAGTGTAAGATTTCTAAGTTTTTTCCGCTCGGTTTTTCTTGATTTTCCAAAGTATTCAAATTTTAAATCGATATTCTAAAAATGCATAAATATCATTCTATTCCACCCTCCACTCGAAACGACACGACTCAATCGCAGCTGAGTTCTAAGCGTTGAGCCACAGCTCAAACTCAAGTGCCGGGTTATGCCGTCTGATGAGCGTTCGACTGTGAGCCGGTATGGAGCGGCGTGAACTCGGGTCATGCGGCAAGCCGAGGCTGAGCTCGCGCTCACCCGAGTTGCGGCTGAATCCCCGGTTGAATTTCTACCCGGGTTTGATGTTTACTTCCACTCTATACCCCAAAATTAGACTGCGGACATACCTTACGGTATAATATTTGTGAGTCTTCAAAACGGATATATTTCTCGAATTATTCTCTGTAAATTTGCCTTGGAAAAAGCGTCTCTTGCTATTTCATCTCTTTCACTTCACTTCAAATTTAATGGAATCAAGAAATTTTTGCAACGATTAGAATCCCGTCTGGACATTCGATCTCTGCAAGACGAAAGTGTACTCGACCCTTCAGCCCAAGACACCGTGGATGACGACAACCGATCCTCTTCTTCATCTCAAGATTTACTCCAAAGTATGGATGAAATTTCTTCCGGGAGTATCTCCCCGGATACCACCGATGGCGCATCCCCATTAGAGAGTGGAATTGGAACGGCCAGTCCACCTAGGAGTACAGATCGACGAATAATCAACCGTAAGTCCATTTATAATACCATAAAAATTTACCCTACTCATCGCACAAGATTGGTTTAATAAAGGAATTGCGTGAGTCAATCAATTATTTTTTATCCATTTGTTTCCACAGCGTCGACTAGCAACAAATGTCACAGAAAGGAAACTTGGGAGAAAATACGAAGAAGGCCATCGAAACTGAGTTCGAGATATGATAAATCACGTTCAGCTGATGTTTGGGTGAAGAGGGAGAGCGTTCACACGCAGACGAACGAAAATATTGATCAAGCTTTCCAAGAAAATAATGACAGCAGCAGTCAGGACGATACGTTACCCAGAACTAAACCGTCCAGATCGAGTAACTTGCCCCTTGGTGAGTAACAATTCACACAAACCCCCCATTTGAGAAATTTATTGACCATCATACGCGCATAGAGTGCAAAACACTAAATCTCCATTGATATTGAACCACATTTTTCATACATCATCAATCGAAATCAATTTGATGTTAATTTTTTGGATATTGTTTCATTTAAGAAAATATTGAAACTAAGCATTCAAGAAATTTCCCCAGTGATTTCTCTGAACTGTCGGGCGTTGTTTGGGGGGGTATTCACATTTGAATTGAATGACATCATGATTACGAAATTGAATCCATTGTATGCCGGATTACAGCCCTGATTACACAGATCTGTGATAACGGTGATTACCACTACCAAAAAATTTGATTATCTGATTACAAGTAATTTCATTGATTACAGCTACACTGAGAATACAAGTCGAGAATAGGCCCTTAGAGGCAAAAGACAATTAATAAAATGACGATGTTCGACTTTTTAGAAACAAAGATTTTTGGATGAATTACTCTATCAAAAGACGGAGTAGCGTATTGCGCTGTATGCCGGTTCAAATCTTTCCCGCAGTTAGTGATGCCGTCGAGATTACACGATAAACATTTTTGGATAGATCATCACGGTCAGAACAAACATCTAAAGTTTTGGAATCGTCGCAATCTCGAAAAACATGGGATCGGTGCATCTTGTCACGATTTTGGGAGGACTTATCTTGCCTGGGTCTGGACTATTTCGGTTTTTTCTGTTTTTAAATCGTCGATATATCGTTACGATGTATCGGCGATATAAAAACAGAAAAAAAACGAACAAGTCGAGACCTAGGCAAAATAAGTATTCAAAAAATCGTGACGAGATGCACCGATTCAATGTCTTTCGAGATTGCAACGATTCCAAAACTTTAGATGTTTTTTCAGACAGTGATGATCTATCCAAAAAATTTATCGTGTAGTCTCGACGGCATCACTACCCGCAGTGCAAGACTACTGCTTCTTTGCTATCTGCTCGATTTCAAGAATTTTTTTTCGTCAATTTCGCACTCCTATTTTTTATCTTCATCATTTTTGGTCTCTGTCCTCTGTTACGTAAAAATGCAATTGGCTCAATCCGCCTTGACACTATTTAATAAAATAAATATTAAGACGAGGAAATGCCCCTTCCTGCCGTTTTTGTGGGAAACGAAATTCCTGTGAGACATTTTATCTCATAGTTGGCAGCAGTGCGTCGATAATTCAAACTGCCTCAAAGTGCCATCTGTCGGTTGTTTCAAGAAGTGAATATATATGCATGCATACACATATGGGGTATTCCATGCGAACTCACCCAGGTCAAAACCCTCACCACCGCCAATCATATTGCCGATTTTTCCTGTGGTTGTATCTGAAAAAATTTTACTTCTCAAATTTTTTCAGATTTTTTGAGGCATCCTGTGGGCAGCCATCTTTTTTTGCAAGTTTTATCTTCAAATACCTGTAACTTCCGTAAAAATCAACCAATTTGAGTTTTTTTTTTACAAAATGTGCGTCTTCGAATACACTTTCCATATAAAAATATGCCAATTTTTTTCAATTCGTTCTTCCATCGATTTCCTCAGAAAAACCTCAAAAAACTTCAAAAAACGAGTCCTTTTCAAAGTTGGATCCTTTTTAGATTTTTCAAAAAATTTCAGTGAATATATTGAACTAAAATAAATTTTTTTACCAAAGGCCAAAGTGGGATCTCTATTAGAACACACCACTCGGAAAGATTTATTGTTAACGAATTTTCAAAAAATCATCAAATTGTTCCTGATTCGAATATAATGCAGTAATTCTTCAGGCGGTCAATTCAAATAATGCTTCTGCGTTCAAATGCGAAAAGAATTTTAAAATTTTTTAAATTTCTCATCCCGCATTCATATATTCAAATTGGAAATGACGGCCACGAAATGGGAAACCCACTTTGGCCTTTGGTGAAAAAATTTTGTTTTGGTCCAATATATTCACTGAAATTTTTTGAAAAATATAAAAAGGGTCCAACTTTGAAAACGACTCGTTTTTTGAAGTTTTTTTAGGTTTTTCTGAGAAAATCGATGGAAGAAAGAATTGAAAAAAATTGGCGTATTTTTATATGGAAAGTGTGTTCGAAGACGCACATTTTGTAAAAAAAACTCAAATCGGTTGATTTTTACGGAAGTTACAGGCATTTTAAGATAAAACTTGCAAAAAAACATGGCTGTGCACAGGATGCCTTAAAAAATCTGAAAAAATTTGAGAAGTCATATTTTCTCATATACAACCACAGGAAAAATTGGCAATATGACTGGCAATGGTGAGGGTTTTGACCTGGGTGAGTTCACATGGAATACCCCATATACATACGCATAAACATCATCTTCAAATTGCATATTCGGATTTTTCAAACTATATATTTCGTTATTCTAATACAAAAGAAAATCGAAAACTCAACTTTGAGAAATTGCAGTGCTTTCATCAATTCACGCTAAAATATTGATGGTTGTTATGCCGTCATCGTGCAGGGACAAACTGACCTTTTCAAATTAAATCATATAGAAAATATCCATTCGAATTTATGAAAAATGCACAATGAAAATTTAAAAAATATTAGAATATAACGGTGACGCGAAGGAAATGAAATAACCACAAAAATTATAAAAAATAAAAATAACGCGCCCTGTGCCGCTGTCAGATTGTTTTTTTTTGTTTCACAACAAAACATTGTATTCAAAAAACGTTGATGCAAAATAAAGGGAAATACACGTCTTCCGCCCAGTTTTGTGCCATGGGCATAAGTATGATTTTTTACTTTTTGTGTTCAAAAAAACGAATTTTTGATGCGCAACATCTTTTTCAAGACAATGTACCAGTTTTCAACCACAGTATTAGTTAACCCTCGATTGGTCACCCTATGAGGGAAATCCCGCCGCGCATTGTTTTTCTTTAATTACAATTAACTGGCTAACCGGAAAAATTCAAAAAAATTTGACTTTGTCAATTGAAGTGTCTAAAAAATTATAGTAGTTTTTAGAACAAAATATTTTTCAAAATTCCTAAATAAAACAAATTATTTCGGACAGATGAATTATTTTTTCCCATGTCAAATGAAATTGCCTATGCCGCGACGTTGCCCGAAACTCGCTAACCGCGCCGGGCAGTGCAGAGTGAATTCGGCAGTGCTAGAGCCCAAATATACGGCGAGGAATCCCCGCAGAGGTGATCAAGTCGCAGGGTCGCGTTTGGTGACCAGACTAGGGTTAAAATATCCACCGAATCCGGCACATGACGTGCTTGCTATTATTTTTGTAGGGGATAAGATTTTCTCAAATATTGGAGAATAAAGCAGGCAATAGCCCCTCAGTATTGTTCGTTGATAATCTTGAGATCATTCAGTGGCAGTTGTTAGATTAGATATAAATCAGATTTCTCTGATTCTTCAATGAGTTTTGTTAAAAATAATATATGGACATAGAAATTCGCTCTGAAATTAGCATATTTGTGTACAATTTGGAAGATCCTCATTTCTTGTAATGTGAATGATATTGTATGGTCATTTGACCCTTCAATGAGGTGCATTTTCATTGCTTTACCCATAACAAAAACTTTATCCAGATCTTAGGATCTCTATATTTCATTTTAAAACGTCATCTCATAGGAATTGATCATTTTCAGAGTGGAAGAAAATATCAGAATGAATAACTTCCATACATCGGAAAAAAATAAACATTTCATCATAAATTTAGATCAAAGGAGCATTCAGAAAGAAAAAGAATGATTGATCGTTCAGTTTAGAAGGCGTAATTATTCAAAATGGTTGTGCGTGGAATATTGGGATTATAAGTAGAGTAAAAGAAGATTACTTTGCCTTTAAAGTAACTTTGACTCTTAATTTAGTCACATGCTGAAAACACATTCCGACCTCTGCATTAACAAAGGAAATTTTTTTGGCCAAATATTCGTTTACTTGAGAGAGACATTTATTTTTTCAACAACGTATATCTTCGATCGAATCATCGCCGAGCGAGCCGGATTAGGTTTCAATTATAACAATCATGTAGACCTACAGGATAACTATGTTGCCTTGACCTTGGATGTACATTGTACTCCTCTAATGATTATTCATTTTTCCTAAATTTCTCATTTTTCAGAGGGAAGAATTTCGATTCATTTTTTAATGTTGACAATGATTGAAGGAGTTCACTCAAGGTCATAACTAACATGATCATCTTCTACAGCAATATAATTGACATAATCGCAACTTAGTGAGGATTGCCTGCCAATCACTCATACTGTCGACTCACATATGATAATCAACTAGATGTAATGTGACCGTCATAAATTTTTCTGTTACAAAATTTTGTCACAAATTTTCAAATTGCACCGGTTTTTCGGTGCAAGAGTTTACTTGCCAACACGCCTATCGCCTGAAGGCCTCCAGGTAGAGAATGTTGAATGTGCAGTAAATTTTTTAATTGAAAATTCTCGTAGAATATCCGGTTTCAAAATTGTGTGTTATTTTCAGATGAATATCATGTCAAAAATTGTGATGAAAAATTGCTGTGAAATCATTTATTTTATTCATTGATCTCCACTGGCCAACCATTCCTAGTGAGAAAAGTGACACTTAGTCAAGAAACTCACCACTGATTTTTCTTTTTTAAATTAAAATACGACTGATACGTATGTTGACGCTTTGTTATTGTCGATCCATGGAGGTAATCATGTGGAATTTTCGGATTTCGAATTAGTTACCGCCACCTGGGGTGCCACTAATTAGATGGGATGTGACGGTCACAGGGTAAACAGTCAAGTTTGTGTCATGTGACAATACATTGCCATGGTTGTACGTGTCACATGACCGTCACTGACGTGTCATGTCATTTTTTTTGTGACCCTTAGTTTGACCCCCATGATGCTTATTGTAACCCTCGTGACCCTTGTAACCCCTAACTTCCAAGTTCAATTATAGTAAAACAGTCGTATAAAATTTTTCATTGGATGAACGATTTCGTAAGTCTTCTGTTTTAAGAACTAATCAAAGGACTCTCTCAAACATATGATGCCCAAAGCAGGCTACCCGAGTGGAAATTCTGTTCAGGTCTCCATCAGAAACTGATCAAGTCCGATCCGAAATTCTGATCAGGCATGTTACGCCTCTGCCTTAGGTTTTTCCACTAGGGTATCTCTTACTAAAATTTGAAGAGTTCTGAGGGCTGAACTTCGTTGTAACACGGTAACATGATGAATGTCGTGGATGTTAAACTAATTAGAGGGAGAAAAATTGACTAGTTCTATCCAGGTGTAAGTGCCCGTCAAGATTTTTTTTTGTCATTTTTGTGACATAGAATTCCGTCACTTTTTTTCTGACCACAAATGGTCCGTAATTGGCCTTCGGGCAGTGTAATTTACGTGTAAAATTACGGTAAATTGACCTGTCAGCTTCGTTCGTTACATTCCTAGTAAAGACAACACCACTACTGAAACCTAACAATTTGCAAACATTATCACTTTTCATATTCAATTGAATTTCTCCCGTGAATTATACTCTATGTATTCTTCTGCTACCCACAACTTCAATAGTGCAAACAATCGATGATACGTGAGAATAGCAATAATATTAACATGACAATGCCCACCATTCCACCCACAAAGTTCTATTTTAGTCTGTCATATTTCTATTAGGTCTAACAATGACGACCAGTAGCTCCCTAAGTTCTGGAGAGATGCTTGAACCTTTACTACGTGTAGTGTCTTCATCCTCTGCTGGGAGCTTACAACTGAAACACGAGTCAGTCACAGTGGAATTGAGTGGAAAGAGCAACAGTGCGCCATTGTTGGAGAATAACGACAGAGGAGAGAAAACCGAGCCAAAACAGGTGAGAGCTCAAGCATTTCTTTAATCTCTTCGCTTTTCCACAAATGTATCATGATTTTCTTTCCTCTTTTCTTATCACTCCCGTTCTTAACACGAAACCCTTCACCTTGGAAAATATCTAAGCCGTGAATGCGTGAATCGATGAGTTGTAAGATGGTGAATTCGACACTGTGGACATGAACGTGAACAGAGTAGAAGAGGCGGTCTGATACTGGTTAGAATAAGTCGTTCGAGGCAGACATTAATCACGTGCGTAGTGCAAAGCGTGTATGGCATTTGGTACAGAGATTAGCCAACGGAGATATTCTTCAGTCTATGTGAAAACACTTATCAATTCGTCCTTTTTTGATCCACAAGATCCGTACTTGTGGACCGCCATTTGTCACTGCCCACGTTCAAGCATGTACGCAGTTGGTTGCTTGCAAATGCGGGTATTTGTATTTCACTTATGGAGACAATGTGAGATGAGCATTTTCGCATTGTTTCAAAAGGAAGGATTATAAATTTCAAGGTTTCGTAGTTTGTCACCTTATATTCTGGTAAAGAATGGCAAGATAATGGTATCAATTGTCCTCACCCAAGTAACAAGTATTTGGTTCCAATGGTTGTGAGTTACTGCAGATATATGAAGAATAGTCTTGAATGTCATGTATTTTTGCGGAAGAGAACGAAAAAGCAGATGTCAGTGAACTATAAAATTTGAAAGATACAAAGAAATAAAAAAAAACAAGTCAGAAATGTCAAATGAATGGCCATAGGGCACAATTAGATATCTATGAGAAAAACATTTCTAAATTGAATAAGGCGATTGGAGAAAAATTCTTTATGAAATAAAACAACAATAGAAGCAGGCCCAACGTCGTTGGCGCAGAGTTTTTCAACTCACTGCCGAGTATGTTCTGATCCTAGTTCTACTGATTGTTTATTTCATAAAGATTTTTTCTTCAATCTTTCCTCAATTCAGAAAAATGTTTCGCATTGACATTTGATTGTGCCCTATGGCCATTCATTTGACATTTCTGACTTGGCTTTTTTTTACTTCTTTGCATTTTTCAAACATTTCTACTGTTCAACAGGAATAAAAAATAACTCTTCTTTGGCGCAGTTTTTTTTACAAAAACTTTTGTTTTTGTTTTTTAAGGAGATTTTGCATTTTTTTTTTCAAAACGGCCACATGGTTATTCTCCTGATCTTTTATTCCTGTTTTCCGAAATGGAATTAAAACTATTTGTTTTCCGCTCACGAAACAGGAATTTCTGAATTTCAAATCGCATAATTTTCGAGAATTCATTTATGCACGACACCCAATTGAAAAATATCTGTGGAATTTATCACTCATGCTCCAAATTCAATTTGTAAATTCCCGGGTTCGCTCCTTGCTGTGTGTGGTTGTATTGCACTGCTACCAACTGTAACAAAAAAATGATAAGAGATAATGTGAAATGTGAAAATGTGGATATGAACCCATTGCCATGCGTATAATTTATTAAAATATTGATTCGAAGTAAGAAATAGTTACGTCAATGAGAAGCTTGTGTGCGAATTATATAATTGAACCAAGGATATTTTTCATGTAGCTTGTCCCGTTTGCATTTTATTTAATGGATACACTGATAGAAAGGATTAGTTATTTTTAACGAATGGATTTGGTTGGAGACGAGGGTCTATTGGTCTCACCAATGTTCATTCGTTAATAGTTGCCCATTTGAGGAGCCTTGTTTGACTCGATTGTCACTTTTCAAGTGAACCATTCATTAACTATCAGTAACTATCATTAACTACCATTCATTAACTATCGGACATTGACACTGACAGACATGGTCGCCAAACTTCGTATTTTTACGCTTCAGACCATTCTACATAATTTCCAATCAAAATTAGAGAATGTGAAAACAGCACGATTACAATGCTTCCATTCGGAAGCAAAAACGCGGAAAACCAAATTTGACCAATTGTAAAAACTAGATACCCGCCCTTGAAATCAGTGGTAACAGACCAAAAGAAAAAAAGGACGAACAAAAAAAAGTGCTCAGATCCAAAAGTGGAAAGAGAACTTTCCACTTCAAAAAGCATCCTCTTCAATACCCTCGAAGGAAAAAGATCGGTCGTGGGACACCCAGTTTTTGTACAGTCAGTCAAAACTTTTCCTTGGCCGATACGCTGTAACGCATATCTCGATGAAGTGAAGTGATAACAGGAATTGAAGACATTAAAAACGCGATTGGTGAGTTTGAAAAGAAAGCGAAAATTTGGAGGCGTTCCATTCCACTCTTCGTGTTTTTTATTTTTATTTTTGGATGCTTCTCCATTGAGTCACTTAGGGATAAATTGACCTCGACACGGAAAACAAAGGTTAAAAAAAAGTTATATCAATCGACACACGAGTGAGTCCTTTCGTATATGCTTGACCGGACATTCACGTTAGGTTGTCTCTGTCAACTACAGGAAGTTACACGTGTGTGAGTGCACGATCAAAGCAAATCGATCAGTCAGCCTTATGCAGCGCATTATTCGGTTGGTGTACTTCAACCCTCAAATAAACTACCTATATAGAATATGTATGTGATGGCTTAAACTGACCAACGATATTGTCCAGCCAATGATGTCACAACAGTGGAAAGCCGGGGTTCCTTGTCGTGCAATGTAGATTCTGGTCTTATATACATCATTCTGGGGGTTATTTGGATCTGCATCCCATTACTTATGATCCCTTACTTAGCATGTATAGATGGTTCTTGGAGGTTTGGTGAAGATGTTCTTTGCGTTGACAATGGTGTCATTATTTACTCATGTTTTATTAGTGAATCTATTACTCTATCATGAGTCCAAAAAATTACCGCATTCTGATTTTGTCAGGGAGAGAAAAGAGAGAGAAATTATCCGGAAAAAAGCGCAACTTTTATGTTACGGAGATAATGGTGGAGGATAAATATGAAAACTCAATAAAATGTGACTCAATACTAAAATATAGCTCATGCCGAATGTACCGAGCGACCAACAACCGAATTGAATTCCCATACACCCGCAATGGGAGCGAGCGACCAACAACCGAATTGAATTCCAATACACCCGCAATGGGAGCAAGCGACCAACAACTGAATTGAATTCCAACCCACCCGCAATAGGAGCAAGCGACCAACAACCCCGTCAGATTTTTTCCTCCGCGTAATCAAATACAAACCAAAGGAAAATCAGTTCAGCATTTTGAAAAATTTAGACTTTCGGACCAATTTTTTCAATTCCAGAATTTATTTCTCCTTGAATGAAGCCATTCAGATGAATAAATTACTTGTATTTGATTCTGAATGACAGCATTTTTGAATTCACGTAATTTTATGACGCCCTTAATGAGGTCATGTAACTATGGTATTGTAATGAATAGCACTTGAATTTGAATCTGAAATTCAAGGGGACAAAGTACTCAGAGCTAACGACGTCATTAACTATTTAGGTAATTGTCCTAGGTATACATCGTATCAAGCTAGGATAAAGAGTAGCTTTTTCCACTTTCTGAAACGATAAATTACCCGCAGAAGGGAAAATATGAAGATGTAAAAACCTAGGAGCTCTAAAATTTGACGATTTTTTTCAATGTCCCATCCGTTCTCCGTCATTTATTCAGAATGAGTTACAAGTTTTTCCCAAGTTTTTACATTAATCTGTCAGGAATGGCTCGTACATCATAATTATTTCTTCAGTCTCGTCTCGGCATAATACATTACTGAGGTTCCATCAATTTGTGGCGTTTGTTCCTCTGAATTTGTGTGTTAAAGCTGATACAACAAATACCTGATAATTGCAAAGCACTCCGGATATCGCTACTGATTATCATCAGTCATAAACTCAAATTATTGTGAAGTATCATCAGCTAAGAATTTCCACTGAATCCATCAAATTGACAGACAAAATTTCCTATTTAAAGAACCCAATATGTTATTCGCCTGAAAAAAAAATTCCATTGCCTTCTTCTTTTCCTTAATGGAGCAGTTGGCCTTGTAACTTCACGGTGAGGTTTGAAGGGAAATATACAATGGTCTTTTTATACAAGCAATTTTTTACATCTTATCTGTTGGCTTGACGAAGAAAAAAAATTATGGACAAAAAATATTTGATCAGCTTCACCGCTTGTACATGAATCAGATTCATTTTATAAAATTTATGCTTCGAAAAATTTTAATCAAATACTTTTTTTGTCAATTTGCAGCACATCCAGTATGTAAGATCGCAGTCCGAGTGCTACTTATCAGGTGAGTTGAAAAATGTGAAACACGAAAGTGCATGGGGATATAATGATATTCTTTATCGAAAATAAAATGAAACAGTCGTATCCGCCTGTGAAATTTGACGTGAATATGACAATAATCTCGAGATGACCTAACATTTTTACGCTCGGCGGAAAAAGCCGAGGAAGAAAAAAACACGCATTAATCATGTTTTAGAACCCATACGACCTAAGATTTTTTCCGGCGTTGTTTTCCTGTTTAACCCCTCAAGCACGGCGTCTTAATGCCATATGGACTCTTTCTTCGTGATTAATAAAAATTCATTATCTTTTGTACTATCGTAAATATCGAAATTCTCAAAATTGCCCTATGAAATAGCTAAAATTATTAACACAATGCGACTCCATTTTTTTTCAAGTCATTTTTAATATTTTTCTTCAATACATAAACATTGCGGAATTGAATTCGATGTCGGGTGCATATTGAAACCTTTCGTTTATTGAGATAATTTGTCTGAAAAATTGTGAAATTTTTACCGAACATACTCTATGGATTCCTTTGTCGAATGGCACAAACGAAATTTCAATTCAATGAATTACTGACTTGTTATTAAGAAGTTTCCGACAATTGCTGATCGTGGTAATTGTTTGTACTATCGGTATTATTAGATTGGTATTAAAAATTAAAATTGAAAATTGGAGAACAATTTGTATAAAGAAATAGTGTAATTGAAAACCTTTTTAGTGATCGTTCAAGATTATCGTTAAATTTTAATTATTATTTTTGGTAATCGGATCTGGCCTTCCCTGGGCCAACCAAAGTTCAGTATTCAATAACATGAAGTACTTCCTAATTAAAATTAGATTTTGATAATTTCCCTCTAGCTCTGCAATTTTTTCTCTAAACAAATAACTGTCAAATATTATCCTGTGGAGTGAAAGAAAGTCATGAAAAAAGTCAAAATGAGTCAGTTTGGGAAGGATCCGATTACCAAAAATAATCCGTCTAATACCACTCGACCTCCAAAATTAATCGAACATTTCCCTCATGTTTTCCTGCGTATCAACGAATGGGATAAGTTTTGCACAAAAATCTCGTTGCTACGGAACCGAACAATCGGGAAATATCCGATAATTTTGGAGGTCTCGTGGTATTACTACTGATAATCTTGTACATAAGTTGTCGCATATTGAACAGCGAATTCAAGTTGACGGGAGGCCACTGGCCAATGAAGACACACCGTTTGATATAATCACCGTACTTGAAGTGTAAAAAATGGATCCGAAAGCCAGTACAAAACCGACCAAGCCACTGAATTGGTCAAGGACCAAATTTTTCGAATCGGGTAGCTGTTCCTTCGAATAGATATCTCTCTCCGGAATCTCACTATTAATGGAGTTGGTAGAAGAAGAGAAGAAGAATTAACTTACAGGGATAATTCACACTGAAAAAATCATTCTACAATCAAGTGATTTTATCCCCTAAATAGAATACCGTCAAGGAGGGATAGAATACACTAAGCAAAAGTTGATTTATGCGAATTTTTGCAAATTTTCTGTAAAACCGGAGAGTTTTTTCGAATTCTTATAAAACGGGAAAATTTTCTCGTATTAAAAAAAACCGGGGAATTTTCTTGAATTTTCTAGAAAATCCGAGAATTTCCAAGAAAAATCTAGAATTTTCACAGACGGCGCTGGCCGTTAGACGTTCCACGAATGACCTCCAACATGAAATTATAGACATATCCACGTCAAAAGAAGCTTACCACGAGGATGGGGTTTTGCTTTAGGAATTATATCAATAATCAATTTAACTTCCACGGTCACCTCAAATACCTTCAGGTCCTGCTCAGAAAGTGGATAGCACATGCAAAGTCCAAAATCGAGTTTAATGTTGTGAATATTCAAACTAGTTACTTGTTCACCTATTGGTTTGGAGTAAATTGGATAGAATACATTTCTATTTAAGAATAAATTGAAACGGTGAAAATCAATTAAAAATAAATACATAGCTGGAGAAAGATTTTTTTTATTCTCGGTTCCGAAATCGGAGCATATCATAATCAATAATTTCCCAACAATTTCACAAGTATAAAAATAGAAATGACGTTTTTGGTAATGTGTGAAAATACTATTCGAGTGCGAACTAAATATCGAACTTCAGTCAGGAATTGTATAGATTTAACTCTTTCTTGAAGCTAATTTAAGGTAACAACTTTGATAATAAGTATCTCTAATAAAAATTTAGAGGCCCTCTGGAATTCTATCTCCTAAATTTATTATGAATAACTATTACTAATAAATATGAGTTCATGGAGAAAAAACTTTAAATAAATATTACTAATAAATATGAGTTCAAAGAGAAAGTACCATGAAATCACGAAAAAATCTGGATTTGATCTGAAAATACTGATAGAAAAAAATTATTTTATTGAGATGCTGTTGTCTTGGAATGTGCATTATATGGAACCACTGTCAAATGAATAAGATTTTATGGTAAATCTCCATTATGTCCTTTGATGATAAGGCGGTTTCATAGACATGACTGTTCTCCGCGCCTATCTGACATAGTGCGATGTAAAAACTACGTCCGACTCCGTATAAGTTTGAAAATTTATCTTTTTCCTCGGAATTTGTCCGCCTTTTTTATGTAAAGTTCTCAAAATTTCGAGTCAGAATTTCCAAAAGAGCATTTCGCATTAGAATTGTATTTTGTCACGTATTTTTTGATTGGATTTTTTTCTCCATGTAGAAACACTCATTGTACAGTTCGGAAACTAGTTATTTATTGGATCACTCAAATAAATGTAAAGCACATCATGCATGTGAACCTACAAATTGGAGTGTTTAATAGCCCACGAGTGCATGTGTCTAGATATAAAAAGCGATGAAAGTTTGCACCATCCTCACGTGCCAATAAATGGAATAAATGAGGTAAAACTGACGTAAAAAAAATTGGCCTTCCCTCGAGGCTGCCGCTGAAATTGTCTGGGGTGCTCTCTAATACAGAAACTTATTAGCAAAATGAATTTCTAGTTTGCGGGGATTTGACAGCGAGTCGCAACCATGTTGGCGACATACTTCACACAAAATGGTTTCCGACAACTGTCACATTGAAAAAAAATTAAACTTATCTTCACTATTATTTTCCGTATGGGAGCCTCGATGAACAACCAATTTTTTGAAACAAGTGCATGGAATTTTTTTTTTTCGTTTACAGATTTTTGGCCCATAATGTGGACAAAACTTTTCATAACTTTTAAGATAATAAACAAAAAGTGACTTTTTGTTTACGGCATTCACTTTTCGTTTACAATAGCTGACTTTCAAATAACAACTTGGCGTTCATTTCTAAGTCACTGTTTAAAATATGGCGCTGTCGTTACAATTTCAACCAATCCGGTGTCGTTGTGCCTGTAACTACGTGCGTAACTGAAAACTTTGGTCTAGTCATCACAACTGAATTGCAGCAGCCCTACAGCATCAGTCATTATATGCCTTAGAGCTCTCTGTTTTCAATTGTTAATGATCTGAGTACTTTACGGGCTAAATGTGTGTATTTATAGGGGAGGGTCTGCCTGTACCGCTCAGCGAGTAATACCGCTCACCCGATTTTCTCCACAACCATCATTTTGAAAATTTCTTTCTGTTCCTGATCATGAAGAATTTGATGATAGGAGTGATTGTCGGAAAAATTTCACTTTATTTACCACTTTAAATATGAAAAAACACCTAACGATGCTTTGAGGTCTCTACAGTGCAAAATTTGTGGACTTTTAATTAAGGTTTTTGATCGTTTCAAATGCTGAATTCTCATATTAAACGGTGGTTATTCGATTCGTGGTACTTTCACGCGTAATTTGAGACCAATTCGAACTCAAAACTCCACTCATGTCAATAATTATCAACAATTTTGTTGACGCCGAGCGGAGCCGGCAATGCCGCTCATAGGATCGGCCACGTAGTTGCTCGACAGCACTCGAGTACAGGTTAGGTTGCGGCGCGGGCGATACACGCAAAACCCTATGAGCGGTATTGGAATCGTGTCGAGCGGTATTACCCGATGGTGATTAGTATCGCTCAGTAGGCTCTCTTTTATTTTCAATCAATTTTGTGGATTCTAAGGAGAATTAGGCGTCTACTCTTCGAGAATAACGAGTTCAATAGTTAAAGAAGTCTCACAAATACGTTTTTTATACTCAAGTTGAAATATAAAATATAAAACTGGCATTTCACCTTAGGTGGGCGGCACAGGCACACCCTCCCCTATGAATGGCGCAAAATTTGAGTTTTTCATATCTATACATATACACTTGTGGGGCTAAGAGTAGAGTGCGTACAAGTACGTCAGAATGTCGCCGTACAATTTTGTCGCAAGATCCCCACGATATCTTCAATTATTACCAAAGTATACAGTAGAGGTTACGTATAAGATACCTCTCTATAAGATACCTCGCGCTCCGAGCGCTCGAGGCCTACCCCCCACTCTCGGCATTTTTATCGCCTTTCGAATGTTTATGTTCCATCGGCTTCTTATAAGATACCTATGGCCCCAGTTATTTTTCAACGAGAAGACAATAGTTATAAGGATCGAACGGTGTTAAGGGTCAAACGGGAGGGAAGAACGAAGGGATCATGAGGGTCTAATGATCTTAAGGGGAGTCACCACGTTTTTCAAGTAATGGAAATATACATTGATTTTTTTTCACTTTTCCCATCGAAAAATCGTAAATTTTCGTCTGTGATTATTCTCGAGTCCACCAACAATCAACCAACGTCAGCTGTCGTTCTATCACGTGGGGTTATGTTTAGAGAGAAAAGGAAACGCAGGCGATACAAATTCAAAACAGTAAACGTATAAATTGATTATTTATCGATATTCATTCAGTAAAAATTACAATTTTCTCAATTCTGATTTTGACCAATCAGAGTGCAGTATTCGGGGTCACGTCACGTGTTTCACATTCATATTTTCCGCGGCTGCAGGGAAATTATCAGACTGATAATTTCTCTGTAGCTTGTCAA